CACCAACATCTAAGTCTGCAGTTTTTGTTTCACTCATTTGAACTTATTACCGTATATACTCGAGTATAAGACGAGTTTTGCGGCACATTTTTTTGTGCTGAAAACCCCCCACTCGTCTTATACTCTAGTCACTGTCTGTATTATGGCAACTTATTACAACTCATTACAAGCCCGGCGGTCCTGTTGGGGGCTAGCAGGAAGAGTTTTCTTACCTTTCCTGCAGCTCCTGTCAGCTCCCTTCTCTCTCCTCCAGTCCGGTCAGCTCCCCTGCAAGTTTCGCAAGAGCCGCGGGGTCAGAGCGTTGCCACGGATTACCGTGGCACTCAGACCGCGAGACTTACAGGGGAGCTGACCGGACCGGAACAGAGAGAAGGGAGCTGACAGGAGCTGCAGGAAAGGTAACTTACAGCTCTCTGCCAGCCCCCCCTCCTACACAGTGCACACCACTGGACCACCAGAGAATGAGAGCCCTCCTCCCTGGACAGCTAACAAGCAGAGAGGGGGGACAAAGAAAAATAACATAAAAATTTAAATAATAATAAAATAACATAAAAATAATATTAAAAAATTATTATTATAATAATATAAAAACATAATAAAAATGCCCACCCCCCACCAAGGCTCTGCATCACATACACACACTGCACTCATACATACACACACACACACACACACACACACACACACTGCACTCATACACACACACACACTGCACTCATACACACACACTGCACTCATACATACACACACACACACACACACACACTGCATTCATTATATACACACACTGTAAATAAATATTCAATTAATATAATTTTTTGGGGATCTAATTTTATTTAGAAATGTACCAGTAGCTGCTGCATTTCCCACCCTAGTCTTATACTCGAGTCAATAAGTTTTAGGGGTCTTGACTTATATTCGGGTCGACTTATACTCGAGTATATATGGTAAGTTATGTTACTGTTTTTATCCAGTGTGCATTGACTATCTAGACTTGTCCCTGATGCAAAAAAGTGCAACTATTTTATATAAAATCCTGTAATATATCCCAAACTAGTGTTGCTCAAAATTCCTAGATGTTTGTAAACTACACAACCCATGTTTTGCCAGCCTTTATAAGAACAAAACATCATGGACGATGTAAACCTACGCCATATAGAGATATCTTGTTTGGGCACTCTAACGAGACTGTTTAATGCAGATACTACTCTAAAGTTTAAATTATTTTAACAAGCATGCTTTGTGGATACAGTTTTACTGTAGCAAACGAGCATCATAAGAGAGCCCCAACAAATGCTGAATTAATGCCTCACTTTTGTCTAATGTCTTTAAACTTGTAGTCTCATAAAAAGGGTTTTAGTGTCTTCAGTTTGTAGTGTCTTGATCAAGACTTCTGATGATGTCAGCCAAGCAGGCAGATCAGGGGCAGAACCAGCAGCAATAACTGAAGTAAAGGTAAAATGTTACTATATTTAGGGAGGGAAAGGGTGGGCTAGATGGTGTTTTAAACACTATAGGGTCAGGAATACATGTTTGTGTTCCTGATATTCTAATGTTCCTTTAAGATGTAATCTAAGATGCCTCATAGAAATGCTTGGTGTTGGCCGTAGGTGATTCATATCCTGGGGTGGTGTAGGAAGGGTTTGGGGTTAGTTACTTATGTATGCCCCATTAGATAGGTTGTACTAAATCTAGAGACTTAGTACTTTTAATCCTTTCATTCCCACACTCTCCATACAGCCACAACAGCAAGTAACCATGACTCTATTCACACTTCAGGTCTTTCATTTATTTATTTGTTTTACAAGCTCTTCTAATGAGAAACGTGTTTGATCTTGTGTAAGAAATATTTTGATAAACTCTTATTTCCATCAGTATATACATTCTAGATTCTGTATTAAAATAGAATGCTTCAGTATAGGATCAAGATACCTTTTAAGACCTTTATGCAAACGTGAAGAGCTAATTAACCTTTGTCAGTTATTCAAATATTTTTCTGGATATTTTGTACAGGAGCACATTTTACCTTTCTATATGTATCTTATTCTATATTTTGTTAAACTTTATACCTCATTACAATAAGGACATGCTTGTTTAGCACTTTTCTTATAAAATGGTACTTGATCTGTGGGACATCTGTCTTTGGCTTCTCTTCTTATCATATACCAAATATGATCAAATAACAGTGCGGGACACAAAGTACTTTAAGTTCTTTACGCCACAGATGTCTGCTGTTTCTTTCTGTTAGCAACAAATGAAATCTGATATCTGGGTATTATGAAGGTTTTGTAGATACACATCTACTGTGCACCTGTTAAACCTCTTAAAAATCGAAAATCTGTGCACACTGAAATTATGCAGAGAGAACAACAGAGAAGAAAACATGTACAAAAAGAGGTATTATAGTTTAGCGGTTTTTTTTTTGTGTGTGTTTTTTTTTTTTATAACTAAAGTTCAATCAAGAAAGTGTTAAGTACCATCTCTTGGTAAATTTGTAGTATATTTCAAGGTGGTTCATTCATTGTGTTACTTTACGGATGGAGCAGATGGACTCCCGTAAATCCTGCAGAGAGATTTGAAACCCCAACTCTTCTTCCCATCTCTGCATATACAGTGGCTTAGGGCCTCCAAGAGCCTGCAGTGCAAGTGCCACATAGCTCATGGATAATAGTTTTGATGTGTTAAGGTTGAATATCTGTGGTTAAGCCACTAGAAAAGATGGGTTGTGCATCTATTTGGGTTGGGTTTTAAACACAGGTAAAGACAGAGGTCAACATAAGGTAGCTCATTCCTTTCAACCAATACTGTGAAGAGGACTACTGCTCGACTTTCTAACAGGTGGGAAACAGTTAGAAATTCCTAGTGATCTCCACCTGGACCAAGACAGGTCTGGAGCCACAAATTCAAGAGTCCCCAATGAGGCCTGACTACTTAACCCCTTGGAAAGTCAAATAGTTATCCTAAACCTGCAATGTATAAAATGGACAACAATTTCAACTTTACTTTCTTTAAATTAAAGGGCAACCATATAGTCTGCAAGGGTGGGCTCCTTTGAGCAGCTTTTCTCCTTTTGAATTTATTGATGAATACATTGATGAATCAATTTGAATTTATTGATTTATTTACTGTCTCTTCCATAGATAGTAACTTGATTTGTGATAAAATCATAGCTCTGTGATATTCTCTCAAGTTAGGGACCCCCATTCTCCTTCTTGTCAGGTGTAGGAATTGGGTGGACACTGACACCCGAGGCCTATTATGATAAATCTCATAAAAAGTTCTTGTAGTGTCAGAAAAAATGCCTGTGATAACATCCTAATGTGGCCAAGTCATGATAAAGGTACATGCTTCCATTTGGCTAAATCCCCCTTAAATCCCCTCCAGCTATGTGGTAAGTAAATTACCCTGTAAATGTTATCTAGGAAAGCCAGTATACGCACCCCTACATATCTAATATAATTCATAATTTATAAGCAGTTTTCAACTGGGCTGCAGAAACTGGCTGAATACACATGGGCAGAGTCTGTGTCTTTGATACATTTAAGCGGTAGTAGGAGAGCTTCCCAAACAGAGTCAGCAGTGAATGCACTACCGGCAGGGAACCAGTGGGATCTAATATCATCAGAAGAATGTCATCTGCAAAAACGTTTAGCACAAAGCATGAATTTTGGTGTGCAATCCCAGAGAATTGAAAGAGATTTTGAAAGAAAAACCGAATGCAGTGTACAGAGGAGCCAAAAATATGAAAACAAAATTAGTTAAAAGTTTTCTTAAAGATCCACTGATAGGTAATATGTTTAATTTATCACAGGGTTTTTATCCGTGTAAAATGTGCACAGCTTTTAAAAAAAACAGATTCAATAAAACTATGCAAGTAGATTTTAAATCTAATGTGTCACAAAAAAAGGTTTTTAATAAAAGACTTATTAACTTGCCATTGTAGAAATGTAATATCCCATCTCTGGTGCCCCTGTGGGTCACAGTATATAGGTATGATGAAACGGAATCTAAAGACCCACATACTAGAACACATGGGGAATATCCAGAGGAGGTGTATAAAGCACAGAGTGTCAGCCCATTTTTGACAATGACATAATGGCAAATCCTCCCTTCATAGTTTATGGCAATTTACGAAAAAGACACAATTTGCGAGGAGAGGACTTTTATCTGTTAAAATATTATAGGAATCTTTTTTAGGTCTTTATATATACATTTTATAGTTTTAAGGTATGTTTGTTTATATTGATATTTTTACTGAATTTGGGCTTTATCATCTTACTGAGTTAACTAGGGCTGCATAGATTGTGTTCTTACCTGTTAAATACTCTGTCAATATTACCTCCAGCTGTAACATTTGCACTATTGATTTTTAACTCATACACTATTTAATGAATAATTCACTGTAGTTTAGCTGTTTTTAATTGTTATACTAACTATAACATTTATGTTTTATCCTTGTTTTAAGTTATGGCAATAAGATTTGTATCTTGCCTGATTTTTTTCTTTTTCAATAGGATAGGTGGAGATTCTTTGTTTGCTTTATAATATATGTGTTCAATTAAGGTTTGGGGTTTTATAACCGCAGCAAGTCCTACGTCTTACACTGTACTAAGGGCATTTACCCCAAGTCCAAAATAGATGCCACGCAACTTCCAGTCCAAAAAGGGAACTGCATAAGCAGAACCGGAAGTGGCATCATAAATGCACCTGAAAGGGTGTATTAATGTGATTAAGAAGGGGAGGCACCCTGAGTTTGAAGGAGGAAGAGACGCATTGTGAACAGGTGAGTGGAATATTGAAATCAGAAGATCTTTGGATCAGTGCGATGTAAGGACCTATTTCAACACTGAGGAAGACTTGGCACAAGTTGAAACACATTTGCTTTTAAAAGACTGATCCATAAAGCATTAGTGTATATGTTTACCCATTGCTGATTTTTTTACACACTGCTGTATTTTTTTTTCAAATATAAGTTCTTTAATTCACTCTAATTCATTGTTTATATTCATGCTGTGACTGCGCAGTATTACAACTTATTGTCTGGCACCAACTACCCCATCAGAAGACTGCAATTTCATGAGCTACCACAGATACAAGATAAGGAGAGCTCACAAAATACAATAAATAGTCTTCCCAAAACTACAGTGAAACATCAAGATGAATGTTAAGGGGATGTCTCACTTTAGTACAATAGGAAGGTAAAGGGTAAGCTTCTTTTTAAAAAGCCATCACCCAAGAAGTTTAGAGTCCATTTACCAAATCCAGTCATGGTGTTGGGCAGAGAACAGATGGGAAAATCACAGCTTGTCCAAGAAGTTATCCAAAGCTTGAACAGTCTCCTTCAGACCCTTCCTCTTGCGGGTTTCGGCCACAACTTGGTTTGGCCTGGTGGCATTTTTTTTTTGTCAAATGGAACTCCAGGAAGAATGTGCCAATGATCAAATACAAACTGTGGGAAGGCCTGGCCACCAGTGTTTGAGCTTAGGTCTACAGTGAACCCAAATGATTAATTGACTGGCAGGTAGGCTTTCACTATAAACATTGGTGTGCCTGCCACTTGAGATTCTTCAAAGACGTGTCTACGCTTTCTGTTCAAGACACCATAAATTCCACCAACTACTTGCTCAGGGCACTGAATCTCCACAAGATTGATTGGTTCCATCAGACAGGGCTGGGCAGTCAACACACATGCATATAGGCAACGATGTACTGTAGGAATGATTTGTCCACCACCTCTATGAATGGCATCAGCATGACGAGTCACATCATGAACATCAAATCGGACAGCTCTCAAGTTCTCTTCACAGAGCACACCCTCTTTTGTGGCCCACTGGAAGCCAGCCACAACACTGCCTTTTATTTCATTTAGATATTGTACTCCTTTTGTCACATCAGTCAGGATGTTTGGTCCAGTACCGTCAGGGGCAAAACACCATATCTTCCTAACCTCTGTAACATCCCACTCATATTTCTCTGCCAAGTAACGGGCACAAATCTTCAACTCTTGGCGGGCACTCACGTCTCCTTTGTCAATATCCTCAGCAAGGCCGTCAGGGAATGGACAGGCCTTCATATACAGATGGTTATGCTTGTTAGGAGACTTTGACAGGCACGGCTGTTTTGACTTTCTTAATTGGAATGCAGGCATGGTCCTCCTCTAGATCCTTCAAGCAGATTTCCAAATGCAGTTCTCCAGCTCCAGCAACAATTTGTTCTCCAGATTCCTCAATGATGCACTGCACCATAGGGTCCAATTTAGCCAGACATTTGAGACCCTCCACAAGTTTTGGAAGATCAGCAGCGTTCCTTGCTTCTACAGCCACACTCACTACAGGGCTGACACTGAACTTCATAACACACATGTTATGTGAATGTTCGAAAGTGGTGATTGTCCCAGTTTTCACCAGGAACTGGTCCACACCAACCAAACTCACAATGTTACCACATGGAACATCTTCAATTGGCTCCACATAACGCCCCATCATCAGGATGGTCCTCTGGATAGGCTTCAGATAAAGGTCCTCTTTCTTTCCTGGAGTATAATTTGGTCCCATAATTCTGACTTTGAGGCCAGTAGAGACAACACCAGAGAAGACTCTTCCAAAAGCATAGAACCTTCCCTTATCAGTAGTGGGCACCATTTTTGAGATGTACATCATTAATGGACCTTTGGGGTCACAGTTTTTATGCCCATAGCGGCTTCATCATCAGGTGGTACTTCATACAGCAGCTCACAGCGGTACCTCTGAGCAGTCACTGGTGATGGCAGGCGGATGGTTATCATTTGCAGAAGAGCTTCTCCAGCAGGAAGCCAGTGTCTCATAACAGCCTTTAACAGTTGTTTTCCCTCTTTATCTTTGTCTTCACTGTCCAACTTGATGTCCAGTTTCTTGATAAGTTTAGCAGTTTCATCTCTCTTAAAGTTCATGATGGCATCAAAAACCTTGAAGATTGGGTCCAGGATAAGCTGGAAAAAATGTTCTAGGCAACTTTCCATCACCATTTGATGCAGCCTTGCTAAACTTTCCATTGGCAGGATCAAAATACCTGTCTCCCCAAAGTTTCTTCATCGTGTCTTTTTTTGCATGTTCAGCTGGTGTCAGTTTGCCGTCACCCTTTGCAGCAAACTTTTGCACATACATCTCTGCAAATTGTTTGAGTGTAAATGCCCAGCCATGGAGTCCAGAACCAAAGCCAACAGTACCAAGAACTGGATCAATCATGATGTTTCCCATGGGTCCTGTCTCTCCCTCACCATAGGTGGATATGATAAAGTTTACATTCTCCACAATACGCTGGAAGGTCTGATATAGTTCTTCTGGCTCTAGTTGCAGTTCCAAAAGTGCACGGTCCATTTTGTTCATCATCAAGACAGGGCGGATTCTTTCAGCAATTGCTTGACGGAGTACTGTTTCAGTCTGCACACATACACCAGACACGCAGTCCACCACAACAAGGACACCATCAGTAACACGCTGAGCTGCAGTAACTTCAGAGGAAAAGTCCACGTGGCCAGGAGAGTCAATCAAGTTGATAAGGAAACCAGATCCATCTTTACTTTGCTTAATAAAGGCCAAATCGTTCTCAGATAGTTCATAGAAGAGGGGAATTGCCGTAGATTTGATTGTAATACATCTTTCCTGCTCATCTTTACTGGTATCCGTGAATAGAGTTTCACCCGCACGAAATGATGCGATGATTCCAGCTTTACATACAAGATAGTCAGTCAGAGTGGACTTGCCATGGTCCACATGGGCAATGACTGACATATTGCGAATGTTCACCTTCTTGTCCATGATGTTGCGAATCTGGTCTACCGTGTAGTTCACCGTTTTGGCGGATGTCGTGGATGCTTCTCACGGGACTGGAAAACGACGAGCGGACTGCCTGACACACAGCAGACAAACAGGCAGAAGAGCTTTATTTTGTTTTTAATTGTTTTGTTCATATGAATCTGTTTTGAAATAAATATCATTGGAAAACTACCCAAGGAATTATTTGGATGAATGCACGAAGCCAGTATTGGCACCCTTCTGGTGTCTCTATAGAGCCTGATCCGGCTCTTTACTTGTGAGTTTATCCATTTATATTTAGCATCCTTTTATACTGTATACTGTTTATACTTGTATTATTTCGGGAGGCTGTGTTATTAGTTAGGCAGTTAGACTAGTCATTTAATTTGATAGGTGCCCTTGAAGGCACAGAGTTACCTTTTCAACTTCAGACTAGTCTCTCTTTGCTCTTATGTTTTTTCGTTAACTATTTAGTTCAGTAATTTCTTTCCATTAGCTTTTATTTAGGTAGTGCTATTAGATTTAATTCTCTAAGATTAGATTAGATTTAATTCTCTAAGAATTTGTATATACCGCTGCAACAGTTATTAGAATTTTATATATATATATGTGTGTGTGTGTGTGTGTATATATATATATATATATATATATATATATATATACTTATTCTCCTTATACGTCAAACAACGGTTTAGGTGATATTTACCTTTTTACCTTACATTGTTACAATTCTTTGATTGTTGCCAATCTCACTCTGTGTTGGATACTGACCCTATTCTGGTCTTCATTTGAAATAACAATTCAGACACTACATTGCAACAATATCCTATCTCCAGAGATAATTTAGCTTGGGATTCTTCAAGAGTTATAAGCCTGTACTCATTGCATGTGCATCCTAAATATTTAGGTTTCTATATGTTATTACTGACCTGACTATTTTACTCTCGTTCCCTCCCACTTTATGTTCACATGTTTAGTTTATGTAGTTATGTGTGTGTGTGTTTTTTAATTAACTACCATTAAAAGTGATGTTTTAGGATCTATCTTCAGTTTAGGACAGTGTATTTCCGCTTTTGTTTACATTTCTAAATTAGGGTTAACCCCTTCACTGCCCCTTCACTGCCCTACAATTTCCTTTTGATACAATTAGCTTCCAACGTTTTCTTTAACTACAAAATTTACATATACAGATTTAATTTCCTCAGAACAACTGACAGAACGTAGTTCTAAGTTGGAGAGGTCACATCTTGTACTGTAGTTTTGTATTGCACTCAATTTTCTCAGCACAAGTACATTGAACGCTTATAGTCATCACTACTGAGATTGCTTCCATTTCATTCATACATCCACATTATATTACTGTGAGGAAAGGAGATTTAGTTTCAGTTTTGAATGCAGCCGAAGCTCCTGTTTACAATTGTATTAAAGTAAAACAATAAAAATCAACTGTCCTTTGCAGAACATAAAAAACAAACAAACAAAAAAACGCCTTAATGTTCATCTCCTTCGCACACACACAAAATATTTTCCAAATCAAAACAATTTTCTCAGAACCTTGTAATCAACTTTTATATTGCCTTGTATAGTATAATTTATTTCATTAAGCTTTATGGAGAATCAATTCAATAATGGATATCTTCATTATCATATTTTGCTCGAACATTGATGATCTCAAAGAGAGAAGGTGTTCTTTTACATGCAAAGATTAAAAATCAATAAGGCATTTAAGAAGAATAAAAACAAGGCCGAGTCCCAACTCTATCACAATATCTTTGTTTTGGTGGTTCCTAAGCTAAATTTAAAAGATATAAGAGAGTAAAATATATACTGGTTATATATTGATGTGAGAATTTAAAGAGAATTGAAACTGAATATTAAATGTAAGGTCAGAGTAGCAGAACTGTTAGCATAGCTGACTACAATATTGTTTTCTAGTTTGGCTATTTGGCCCTTAAATTTGAAATTCACTGTGAATTTTTATTGTATTGAATAACCTTGTTGAATATTGATTACATACCCTAGAACAAAGTCCCTTTTTATTTCATCCACTATATTTCTGATGTTGCCAAGTTTGATGGTGCATTTAATTAGTGATTAGCATTTTGCTAATCCCTGTGGATCTTTAATTTACCTAAATGTGGACCAGACCTAAATGTTTATTCAAGAATACAATAACAGGAATGCAAAGAATATTATTTGATAACAATGTAACTGGAATTAACAGGAAAAAAATCATAAATTTTGTGTATGAGTTGCTTTTTTCACACAATTTTAATTTTTTTGTGTATTCTTCAAATATCTATTTATGAGAAAAATCAGAGATGCAATATCCAATACATTGCCTGCACTGCAACACATAGGGGAACTCGGTAGAAGATCATGAGACTCTGGTCAAAAACATTAGTTTTGCTGTTTTAACAATAAATTAATTAAAGGGACACTATAGTCACCAGAACAACTGCAGCATATTGTATTGTTTCTGGTGAGTACAATCATTCCCTTCAGGATTTTTGCTGTAAACACGGTCTTTTCAGAGAAAATGCAGTGTTTAGATTACAGCCTCATGATAACTCCACTGGCCACTCCTTAGACGGCTGCTAAAGCTGCTTCCTTGAGCAGTGCTGCAGAGTAAGCAGCACTGCCATTCAGTGTCTCCACCCTCTGAATGCAGACATTGAACTTTCCTCATAGAGATGCATATATCCAATTAATCTCTATGAGGAGATGCTGATTGGCCAGTTGACTTGTGCTGGCTCTGACCCTGATCTGCCTCATTGACAGTCTCAGCCAATCCTATGGGGAAGCATTGCGATTGGCTCAGACACCACTTCTGATGATGTCAGCAGACACTGGCAGTTTCAGAGGCAGACCGGGGCAGAGCCAGCCATTTCAGACTTGAACACAAGTAAGATTTTACTATATTTAGGGAGGCAATGAGGGGACCAGGGGGGCTAGGTGGTGGTTTTAACACTATAGGGTCAGAAACATGTTAGTGTTCCTTTAAACTTTTTCTATGCTTGTAAAAAGTCTGTAAATAACCCTGTGCATTGCAATGTGGATCATAGATTGTTTATTTGGATGCAAATAACATTATACATTACTGAGGAGCAGGTTTTTATAATGAGTACCATTGCCTTTTAGTTTATGTTTACATTTTTGTTTATTATTTTTGATATCCATATAAAAACATATAGATGGGTTAAACATAAATAGATGGTAAATAGATTCAAGTAACACAAAGAATTAGAGTAGCGCTGAATAACTGAACAAAACAGAGCCGGCAGCACCTGAAGAAAATAGGGGGATTCCCTCTAAAACCCTAGCAGCAAATAACAATACAAAACAAGATACACTATGTGCCAAAGAAAATATAAAAAATAGCAATAAAATATAGTGAAATTGAAATAATAAAACAATGAGTCCATTATAATATTATGTCCAAGAAAATATCTATTAACATCACAGATATCCTTAATGTGATATTTGATAGTAGCTTCTCTATATCAATGAACAAATAATATCTATGGATAGGGTTGGTTGCCCGTTCCATAGATAGAAACACCTTTATTGACACTCCAGCAGTGTCATATGGGGCATAACCCCTATTCCTAGAATATTGAAAAAAATTCCACAAATCTGAAGAAAGACACTCCAGATAAGTAGATAGTGGCTGGAAATTGGATTCAAATAAATAATATCAAAATATAAAAATAAAAAACAAAAAATGTTTGTGAATATACCAAAAGAGAGACCGAAAAATATATATATATGATCAATATATAGACCTCCACAGCTATCAATAGCTGTACCTCCCTAATGTCTATGTTGGTTAGTGTCTGATCAGACTTCTGACTTTAATATTATAATCAGTGTCAATGTCTGAATAATATAAAAAAAATACAAATATCATAGACATCTATTCTAATTTAACACAGCATTTGTATCAAAATGTCAAATATATGGCAAGCTTGCAACAAAGGTTAAATGTAGTGCTGCTGCCTCATTATCAAATAGTGCTGTGTTAAACCTGTAACTAGAGGGGGGTGAGAGTAACCTGTTATATACTATTCAACAGGCTAGCCATTAATGTAACTGTATCTGGGATTATATTCATTGCGTAGATACCCAACAGAAACAAAATATCCAGTCCTTGTAAATGAACAATAGAGATAGCAACATTGCCATCCAAAAAAATATATTCAACGGACTGATCGTGGCTGCCTCTGATACTAGATATAGAAACAGGTATATTTGGGTTCCCTCCCCCAATAGTTCTAGGAAAGAATATACAGGAGGAAAAGAAAAAAAAGGAAGAACATTTAGTGCGTGCTAATGTGCAGGACCATACTTAGAGTGTTGGTCCCTGCACATGTGACAGTGTGCCCTGTGAAGTGAAGAAAAAGTAGAGAAAACCCGACGCGCGTTTCGGTGCCGCTAAAGTGCACCTTCATAATTTGATACAAATTAAATTAGAATAGATGTCTATGATATTTGTATTTTTTTTATATTATTCAGACATTGACACTGATTATAATATTAAAGTCAGAAGTCTGATCAGACACTAACCAACATAGACATTAGGGAGGTACAGCTATTGATAGCTGTGGAGGTCTATATATTGATCATATATATATATATTTCGGTCTCTCTTTTGGTATATTCACAAACATTTTTTGTCTTTTATTTTTATATTTTGATATTATTTATTTGAATCCAATTTCCAGCCACTATCTACTTATCTGGAGTGTCTTTCTTCAGATTTGTGGAATTTTTTTCGCTTCTCTATATCAACATAAAGCATAAAACACATGAGAAGAAAACCAATAGTGCAGTATGTCAATTCATGAATAAGACACACAACACGTAAATCAAATGTCAACATAAAACCGTGTGCAGCGTTTGAAATCGCCACTTTTGGATATTCCTCTTAAGGTAATTAGCAATAGGATAGCAATGAGGTCAGCCATATAGGACAAAAATGAAAGGTGCAATAGTGCTCTAATAATTAAAATATTACTCACACTTTTATGAGCAGTCTAACCACTCTTTGTTCAGGCACAGGGGAACAATCCCAACCAAAAATTCTTTGCTTGGTTGTCCGATGGTAT